CCCCCCCTCCCCAAATAAGATAGATTCAGGTTTCTACTTGCTAAATAGTGGGATATTATATTCTTCTTTCTGCTTTAGTGTTTTCTCTTGTACGTGCTGATATATTTTTTTCAATGAAGAAAAAGTTCAAAAAAACAGGTATGTCAATAACATTCTGCCATCTCTTTCATGTGTAGAAACTATGTCTTTCTTTCTTTCTATCTATCTTTCTAATAATGCCCTTGCACAAGCCTTGCAATTAGCACAACTCTTAGGCAATTAACACTTCCTAATCAAATAACCACCAATATTCCTTTTCACACACACAGGTTCAGAAGACAGAAACCTACCAATGACATTATATACAATTGCCACCAGAATAAATCTTACTACTGTGGCTTTAGACATTATAAAAAGCTACAAAGAGTGAGATTTACTGCTAAAGGGTTAGAAGTAAAGTCACTGAGTTGAATGGACTTATTCCCAGTTAAGTGGGTAAAAGATTACAGCTTCAATCAGCCTCTCTGTGGCATCTTGCCATTTTCTTTCCTATTGCTTAGAGCAGACCTGAAGCTGTCCTCCTTTCGTTGGGCTGATTATAAATAAAGTTAAGTGTTGCAGATTCTTTGCCTAAGTTGGTCATGGCATTTTACTTCTCTGTCTGGGCTGAAGAAGAGGCAACAAGCACGCAGAATTCAGACTGTTATGAGCATATGCCAAATATATTTTCAGTTCTGTCTTCTACTTTAAGGTATCTAGTAAGCAGCCTAATATTGTTCAGTAGAAGCTCCATCACCTCTTCCAACCACTATAGCTCCATAAATATTGTTATATTTATGGACCTATGATATATTTCCACATGTCATATATCAAAAGAATGAATGGGTGTCATTTCAGATATTGGGGTTCATATGTTTTTAATTTTCAGATGTTTCTTCAGTATTTTAATCTTACTTCTACCTCACTACAACAGCAGAATGGATTCATTATTCTATTAAATGTTGCACAACTGGATATTTACTCACACAATAAGGTGTTCTCTATTCCCTCTGACGCTCCTCATTCACCCTCCCTCTGTTCTTTGAAGGTACAAAATCGTACTCAGGGAAAGAATTTATATAAGTGGATAGTAACATTGGAATCCATCCATTGCTTCCTGATGTGCAGCATGTTTCAGGCAACAATAGCAGTTACTTAATAGATAATATAATGATGGTGGTCCTATTGCCTTATGGGATACTTTCTTTCAATGGTAACATGTATTACTTTATTTATCTTAACATTGGTTAATGATCTTTGCTGTGATTGGGAGGGCTAGCAGGTGAAATGCGTGACATGTTCAAGTCTCATTCAGAGTTCAAGCAATTGCAATAGATGGTCCACTAAATTTTTGGTTAGGACTCTTCTATATGTGAGGTCCTTGGTGTTCTCTGAATTTGGTTGTTTTTTTCCAGACGTTTCATTATCAAACTAGGTAACATCATCAGTGCTAGAAAGGAGTTGGGTTTGCTCTCATTTTATATACTACTGGCCTGCCTTCTCAGTGTTGGTCTTGGTCCCTTCATTAGGATGTTATTTGTTGTTAGCTTGATATCAGAGTTTGATAGTTCCTTGACTGGAGTGTTTATTTCTTGATTGCTGGTCTAGTGTTAATCTTGATGTTAGTTTGTATCCATGTCTTGTGAAATTAAGGGGTTTTCATCATGTCTTCTTATTGCTGGTTGGTGTTCATGGATGCCTGTTTATCCCATATACTGGCTGTTACAGTCCTTATACTGTATGTTCTTTGTATTTTCTTCTGGGTCTTGTGGGTCTTTTGATTTACTTAGGATATTTTTCAGGGCTTTAGTTGGTTTGAGTGCTACAGTGATGCCATGAGGTTGTAATTGTTGGTTGTTTCTTATATGTTTTTGATGTATAGCAGTATTATACTTTTCACAGCTTGTATTGGTTGTGCTTCATTGGGTTGAGTGAGCAAAGTTGCTTGGGTATCCATTTTCTTGAAAGATGTTGTATAGATGATCGGTTTCCTTTTTCTGCTGTTCAGGGTTGGTGAAGTGTGTTTGTACTTGTTTAAGTAGCGTTCTTACATGTTCTTACACAGCTTATCTTGTGGGAGGTTAGGGTGTTACTTTGATAGTGGACCACTGAGTTAGTCTAGGTAATTTTATGACAGACTTATCTTTCTAATTTCATCATCATCATTGCCTCTGCTGATGAGGATATCCAAGAAGGATAGCATGTTGTTGTTTTCTTTTTCTATTATGAATTTTATTCCTTTGAAAATGTTTTGCGTGTGTTCTCTAGTTGATTCTTTTTTTATGACAAAGGTATCATCTACATATCAGATCCATACTTTGGATCTGTGGGAGTGCTATAGATTCTAGGCAAAGCAGTGATTCAATGGGGGTTCTTTTGATTTGTTGATATATTTGTCCACAAAACTAAAAGTATGTGATTAGGCAAAGGCTGATGAGATCCATGATTCTGGGTATTTCAATCTTGGTATATTTGGTTAGGGCAGATGTACTATGTAGTAGAGCTGTCATGGACTGTTTAGCACATATCCTGGAGAGTTCCCAGAGAACCCTCCAGCACAAATCCAAAAGCTTGGAAGAATAAACCTCTGATCCCAGTGACCAACTCAGATTGGATCCTGTTGGGTTAGTTCTAGGTCTATGGATGTAAAGAGTGTTGTGACATTAAATAAGATCACAGTTTCATCTTCATTTATTGTCACATCTTTGATTCTTTGAAGGCACTACAGCAGGGAGTTGATGGAATATTTATTTCCCTCTATGAGTTGTCCAAGATTTTTTGCCAATTCTTTAGCATTTTTGTAGATTGAGGGTCCCTGGTAACGATACAATTGAACAGAGAGGCATGTATAGATTGTGTGTTTTGGGTGGTCCATAAAAGCATGGAAGGACAGGTCCACCCTTGCTTTTCATCCACTGATGATTCTTCTTAGTGAAAGCTCTTGGTAAGATCACTGAGAGCTCTCTTAACCTCTCCTCCCACACTTCTATGGACACACAAAAACACACAAACCAGACCTATCTCTCCATCTAACTGTATCTTTGCCAGGTGAGGGAACTTCAGCCAGTTAGTCTCTGTCAGCCAGCCCTCAAAAGAAGAGGGCAATGCCAAACCATTTCCAGAAACATTGCCAAGAAAACCTGAAAATCCAGGAAGTCCCTATCAGTCCAGGCCATCACCAGCAGTCAACAACAACTTAAAGGCATACACATGCATTTAGGATTTCGGCCTATATGGCAATTAAGACAACTGAAAATAATTTTAAAAGAAAAAGAAAACCTTAAAATCCCTGTTAAAACTAACTCAAACTGAGCAGGCCTAGTCAGGAAAAAAGAATGTGAGTTCTTCCCTGAAGGAGGAAAAAGTAAAGACTGAGCAACATTCTGAGTGAATTTAATAGCTTAGAAGCAATATAGAATGGAAAAACAAGCAAACATCTTGTACAATTTCTAGATGTTTGAACATTTTGATATTTTTCTGTTTTGTTTCTTTTTAAGTAATTATTGTTCATTTGTCGTCTATAATACAACCATATATAGTAAAGTTATTGAAACAAATGACTTAATAGGGGAATCTCTAGGAGAACTAGAAATAGCATCTGCAGTTCATCTTCATAAAGCTATCATAGAGATGTTTCACATTTGTTTACTTTGCTTCCCAGTCTAATACAGAGCCCTGGTCAGACTTCCTAGTAGGTTCAGCTATAAATCTTGACTGCCCAGACATTTAGCAATCTGCTTAGAGCAGAAGTTCGGAGGGAAGACATGACTAGATTATGCTTTATTGTAGGCTCATAGTGTTCATGACTTAAATGCTGTATTTGCACAGAAAGTGTGCCCATCCCCCACAAAACACAGAAATCAAGCTCTTCATTTATGTCTACTCCAGACTTTAAAGTCTAGGCCTTCTGGGCCTTGCCAGTCATTGGATATATGGTTGTTTTCTTTCTGACCTCAGGATAGGGGTCGGTCTCTCAATTTTCACATAAAGGTTTCATTCAGTTTGAGCCCTTACTACACTCCTTTTGTTTCCTGGTTGCTTCTGACCCAAATACAACTAGATTGATCCCTTTTTTCATTGTTTATTATCAATCTCACATATTTTTATATTCATAAATCCATGCTATTTGATTTCAAGGTTAGTACATAAATTAAAAATTAAAAACTGACAAACAACTGACTTGTATATTTCCACATTATTTTCCATGACATACAGAATATCCTTTAACATATATTTTTCTTTAAAAAAATAATTTTTGTACTAGCGAAAAATATAATTGCAAAATCCAGAGAGTGATGAAATATGAGTAATGATTGTATATAGGTCCTTTTTTTTTTTTTTACTCTGGCAAGCATGAATTAGGTCGATTCATTTTATAAATATAGACCAAATTAAATTATTACCCATCTCATCTTTAGATGGGTGGGTGGGTTGGGTTTGCATTTTAGAAAAAAAAAGAATAAGTAAGAAAGGAGGACACAATAAATGGTTTTTTTCTCCTACATTTTTTTAAAAATTAGGTTTCTGTAGCTCAGTAATGAATCTCTATTTGCATTACAGCCAAGAAGCCAAAAAAAGAGTGTCTTATCTACACAGGTATTTCCAAAATGCTTTATTATATATTCACTTGCTAAGAGGCTATTTTCAGAATTTCCATTGTTTCTGTCACCAGATCTTGGAGCGGACATATGCCAAGTAACATCTTGTTGGACCTACAAACTGTGCCTGCACTCAAAAAAGCATTCTTCCATACATCTGGATTGTCCTGACCCTTGTTACCCTTTCACCCTTGTAATTAGGATGATAGTATTAACCTTGGTCACCTAGAGATTTGTGGCATGCTTATTGTTTTATCCTGGTATACGGCCTCATGTCACTGCTGTGAGATGGGCAGCCATTTTAATCATTTAAATAAAGGAATACATAGTCTCATCATGTCTACAATTTATGCCTATGATGTCTGGTTATATTTTCTTTTCCAGATGCCTCAAGAACAGTATGCCCAGAGAAGCACCATGCAGAGCTCAGAAGGACCACATGTATACAAAGTGGGAATTTATGGTTGGCGGAAGAGGTGCCTCTATTTCTTTGTGCTACTTCTAATGATTCTAATCCTGGTGAATCTTGCCATGACCATCTGGATTCTCAAAGTTATGAATTTCACAATTGTAAGTAGATGATATTTTGCTTGAAAAGACTTGTAACATAACAAATTTTCCCCAGGCTTTAAAGTTAGGGTATACAGCTGTAATAGTAGTTAACCATTTGGATCTCAAGAATGGTTAAAATGAGCTCAGGCATTAGTCGTAGCCAAGACTTGAGGTGGGTCTACTTTCTCTCTTCTTAATTCACATGATGATTAGTGGATCTGTACTTTAATTCTGGAGTTCTCCCAGTAGCCAGTTTGGTTTAGTGATTAAGGAATCAGAGTAGAAACCAGATAACTTTTAAGTTCTAGTTCTGTCTTAGGCTGGTTGATTGTGGCCCAGTCACTCTCTTTCTCTCAGCCCTCACAGTATTGTGGGAAAATAGGAGGAAGAAGGAGTATTAGATATGCTTGCCATCATGAGTTATTTATAAAAATAATAAAGGCAAGATTTAAAAAAAAATCTAAAATAAAGCAGATAAAATTTCTAACAGTTCCACTCCACACCTTGGACAACCACCTAAATATTCCCTTGTGGGTCTGTCACTGAACCTTTTGAAGTTTAAGAGTTCCACACGATGCTTTGCAGTGTATTGGCTTTCTTCATTAGTAGCTTCGAGGCTTAAATTTCCCTTCTCTTTCTTCCAAGGCAGTTTTTAAAGAATCTAACCAGAAAAAAATGGGGAATACCTCAAGCTTATAGGACTCTACTGCATATATTCTGTTTTCCACTCTTTCACGCATTTGCATACATTCAGACCAGTAGTGGGTTCCACTTACCTTCGCTACCGGTTCAGAATCGGGAGCGTGCACATGCACAGAGCATCCATGATGATGTCCGGGTGGGTGGGCGGAGCCGCCACCACTACAGGTTTGTCCGAACCAGGGTGAACTGGTAGAAACCCACCACTGATTCAGACTATACTCCTCCTTCTCCTTTTAAAGTCAGTTGTGTGCATAGATTAAAGTACCAGATGAAGGTTAGCCTTTGGTTTTTAAATTTTGAAAGCATTGTATAAAGTCAGCCATTATATTACTCTACTTAAAACTCAGCAGCTGATTATATCATGTTATAGCAATAGCACTTATATACCACTTCAGAGTGCATTACAACCCTCTCTAAGCAGTTTACAGAGTCAGCATCTTTCCCCCAACAATCTGGGTCCTCATTTAGAGACCTCTGAAAGATGGAAGGTTGAATCAACCTTGAGTCAGTCAGGATCGAATTCTTAGAAGTGGGCAGAGCCTGCAATATGGAATTCTAAGCACTGTGTCACTATGACTCTTATAATTTGTTAAAGCAAGCCCTTTTGAAAGTTCTTTTAAAATCTCCTCCCTTTCATCTAAGGTATTAGCCATTCCACCCAGTTTTGTCATGTGCCAACTTTATCATTAATGATGAAAATATTGTACAGCACAGGATGCAAAATCCTGTGGAATTCTATTCAATATTTCTCTTCAGATGAATGGAGTGGGGGATATGTGACTGGCGAGCACTCTTTCAATGCAATAATTCAGCCAACTTTGCGTCCATCAAATGGTGAGATCATCTAGTCATATTTTAACATTTCAGTAAGGTAAATATCATGAGGCATTCTGTCAAAGGCTTTCTTGAGTTAGAGGTCCAGCTTAGGAAATAAACATTTCCCCTAGATAGTTGATGACCTTTGAAAATACTTGTTTGTAAGAAAATGAGACAGAAAAACAAACAGAATGCAATGCTAAGTTTTCATACTTTACATTATTTTCAGTCCTAGTTGTCAGTATAATAAAAAGTACAGTTATCTATCTTCCTTGCTGGAAAGGAAAATTGTCAAATTTGTCTATACAGCAAACCTTATCACAGAGGAAAAGGTTAGAATAATTCCTAAAAATGAACACTGTCCTACACTATTATTACGTGAGTGACCTAAAAGTTGGTGGATATATAGTGAAAGAGAATGCCACTGGGGCAGTGTGATTTCCTTTGTTATGTATTTAAGACTGAAAAACAGTCTTCACTATTCACTGTTCCTTGAGGATAAAAGGAAAATCATCATCATCATCAAAAGTAGCAACAATGGTGCATTGGAAGATCTGCAAGAAATATAATTTGCCTGTAAGCAAGAACTGGTGGGACCATAAAATAGAAAAAGTCATAGAAAATAAAGTAGTTAAATTGTTCTGGGACTTCAGAACCAGATAGCAGGCACCTGCCACATAACACCCCAGACTTAACAGTTGTTGATAAGAAAGACAAAAAAGTCTGGATAGTGGATGTGGCAGTGCCTGGAGACAGCAGAAGAGAAGAGAAGAGAAAGACTGGCGAAGATAACAAAATACAAAGACCTACAAATAGAAATAGAATGACTACAGCAAAGGCAAGCAAGGGTAGTTCCAATAGTAATAGGCATCTTGGGTGCAGTCCCAAAACAACTGGAGCATCACTTGAACACCATAGGCATTGACAAATTTTCCATCAGTCAATTGCAGAAGGTGGCTTTACTTGGAACTACTTCCATCTTGTGACGATATCTATACCATCAAACATCCAAATTTGCCTATCCCTGGTCCTTGGTAAGGACTCAATAGGTAGACAAAAATGCCAAACCCAGTCTGAACATCTGGCTGACTGTGCGATGAATCATCATCATCATCATCATCATCATCATCATCATCATCATCATCATCTTTCCATAGAAAATTCATAGGGGGGAGATGACTGAAAAACAATCCTGTGACAAATCTGTAAAGAAAATGTTCATTGACTGTCTAAAATGCAAGTGTGTGTTTCTTTTTAATTTTGTAGAAGACCTTCATGGGAATAATCATGTTATATTACATCCCTTCCTTTTTCTTTCCATTTTCTATCAAGTTTTAGTGAAACCCATATCAGGACAGTTATCTTGTTGCAAATGTCTAGGAGATAGTATTAATTGTAAAATCATTCTAAACCACTGTGATGATAAGGAAAGACAACATGTGAGACCTGGCTTATTTTGAATTGTATTTTTGGAATTAGTGCATACAAGCAGTAAATCATATGTTCCCATGCTTGAAAGCTAGATTCTTAGGGTTTTCCAGATGCATTTATTTTGAGGTTATCTTCATACTGCTGTACAGGATCCAAATGTTAGTTTATGTGTACAACATTCACTTCTATTATAAAACTGTTATATTCTCCTTGGTCATTCCAATCTTCACAACCCAGTAAATCTGTCCATTGCTAGATGTGTAGCAAGTCATCTGTTAAAGTGTATCTGTGAAGTCATTTGTAATGCCTGATACAATGAAACTAATGCAATATTGTAGAGTTGCAAAAGGATATATAACACCCCCACTAAAGAAGACTCAGAGGCTAGCAATTCCTCAAAGCTCCATTTTATTAGAGATATCATATTGGCACATCTGGGAAAACCTGAATCTGAAAGTTCCTGAGTTTTCCCCACCCAAAAGAAAGTCAAAGACCCATCCCCTGCATCCACAGGTCTATCACATGATCCAATCAATCCACCTTCGGAACTGAAGACAGCTCCAGTCACTCCTACCCAGGCTGGATAAAGAAATAAAATAAAGGTAGACTGGTATAGATCTATTTCAAGCTATTTAGCTCTCATCAGCTAGCCATACTCTTACTTGGATTCTAGGTGTCTTGATAGAAAAACAATGTGTGTGTGTGTGTGTGTGTGTGTGTGTGTGTGTGTGTATGTGTGTATTGCTGTGAAGAATACTATGAGGAAGAGTATGAGCAGAACTTTTAATCATATCAAGGTTTATTTCAGTCAAAGACCAATATAGAATGAAACAATAACCAACTGTTTAAAAGTAAAAAAGGAGGAGAAGGACCAGATATAAAGCACAATATAATGCAGATTATTCTCACTACTGTTACTAGTATAAGCTACATCTATAGAATGCTATTTGTCTAAAACTAAGGGATAGAACTAAAATTCTGAGATTGGAGTAAGTTAAAAAATATTTGTTTGTTTGTTCATTTGGTTGTTTAATTATTGATGTTCAAATCTTAGCCAGAGTTATATTATTCTGAGGGATGGGCATTAATTAGCTTGGATCATATCATACTAGCTATGTACCAGAATTTTGCAACATCAGAGAAGCAAAAGATATATATTGAAAGTATCAGAATGACTTGAACGTTTTTCCAAGTGAGGGAAAATAAAACAGATTCTAATATCTATATAAAAGCAACAGTACAGTGTCCCTTCATTTCCTTTCCTATATCAAAATAATCACCCTTCCCTAGTTGCTTGAAATGTGCTAGATCGATTGTGGGGCATAAAAAGGGCATAAAAATTAAAACACTAAGGGGGGGGGGGGGGGGGAATGAGACACTTAAGTAAGAACCGAAAGTTTTAAAAAATGCCTCCAATATATGTGCAGAACTGTTACATAGTCTGGTGAAACAAGGGTCTCCCTTAGAAATAATGGGTATGGACAATATTCAGTAGAACTCCAAAGCTTTTGTGCTGTTCGGTTTATGAACGTGGTTTGGCTGCTTTAAACATGTATGTCCTTAACCAGTTTGGCCTAGTAGCACTATAAGTTGCTGATTCAGATCCCAACCCAAAAATGTGTACCACCCAGTTCTGCATTTTCTAGATCTCCTCAGACTTGACAAAACACATTTACAACTCTGATTTGGCATATGTCACAGTTCTATCTATCTATGCTATCATCCGCCAAGTACTTTGTCTGCACTCCTGCCTAAGAACCTTTTAATTGGGGACTGAAACTTTCTATTGACAAAACACAGTTTGCAGCTGAGTTATATACTATTCTTGCATGAGACCATCTGCAAAGTCTCTCTTTTTTTTTTTGACTCTGAAAACTGTAACATCATGGGCAATACTATGGGTAAGTCCCAGAAATATTTGTCTCATAACTATAAAAAATAAAAAATAAAAAAAAATTGTAATGTTGTAGCCTATGCCTCTTGGAGTGGTTTCAGATATTTTTTTAAAAAAAATGAGATATCCCAAAGCCCAAGAAAGAGATTACGTGAAGCTCAAAGTAAAATACTGT